TTCTGGATGTAGGCAATTACCTTCTTTGTGTGCAGTATTTAGCTTGCATGCTAAGTCTCCTGCTGGGTGACTAATTTTTACATGTTACAATGTCTGTATCAATACCTATAACTGACACAATGAAAACTTCCAGGACTCTCAAGATCTTGAGGTGAGAAGGAAAGTTTACCAGAAACTGTCTGCACCACGCCAGAATAAAGCAAATATTGACACTGATAAATTTTTAAAATTTAATTACTTTATGAGATTTTAAATGTTTAAAGTTATCACTAGTAAGTAGATAAGATACAATTAGTGTGTCAAAATTTTATATAAGGTTTCAGTCTGTCTGAAGAGTGATTTATGCTCAAAATATTTGGTTGTGGTTCTTTTCAGTATGAAAGCTCACCACTATATATTTTTTTTTCATGGATTTCTGTAGTCTTTAGCCTGTAAAGGACAATTTTAATTGGTTACACTGTGCCTGAGTGCAAAATGAGCATCTGCTTCAAAAAGAGACATTTATGTTTTTAATACCATAAATTTTACCAGCCAAAACCAACCAAGCTTGGAGAGGTGGATTACTGGGTGATATCAACTATCAATGGGTCTCACTGTATTTATGTGAAAAAAAATTTGTCAGTGTCAGAGTTATATTCCAAGAGAGTAGATTATGAAAAAATACTTCAGGAAAAGTAATGGAAATCTCATAATTATAGACATGTAGAAACCTGCCTGCATAAAGTTCAACAAAATGTATGGTTTAATTCTGCTATCCATGAGGGTGAACTAAGTAAGCAAATGAGCCTTCTTTCCAAGTCTAATGTTCTGTGACTGTATATTTTATACTGTCTAATTTGATTTATTTATTCTATAGCAGTCAAACTCTTAGGTGTGCCATATATTCAGTTATGATAGAATAGTGGATGCTTGCATTATAAAATATTATTGGCCCTTCCAGCTTGCTCTTCTAAGTTGGATAAGTCTTATATTATAGCTATGGAAAGAATCACTAACTCTTTGACTTCAGCAGGAAAGTAATCAAAGAGCATAGTCGTAGGTATAGCTCAAATTGAGAATGTTACCAGGCAGAAGATAATTGAGTATATGTGCTTGGGAGGGATGAGTGTCCAAAGCTGAACTTTTGAACTCTCAGGCAGAAGCTTCCTAGTTACCAGGTGCAGCTACTGTGGGCTGGCTATAATTTTTTATAACACCTGGACTAAAGAAAAGTGTCATCTCCTGAATCTTCCAATTGAGAAAGAGGCTTGAGAGAAAACCACCAATTAGAAGGCCAGTTATGTGTTGTGCTTCCTTATCCAGACTATCTAGATTGGGAAAACTGGGGTGCAAGGTCCTGGAAAGAAGAGGTGGTGCACAGAAGAGGGATTCCCAAAAAGAAGTGATATTGGAAAAAAATAAGGGAGGCTCAGGAAGCGGAAGGTGAAGATTGTGGCTGGAGGAAAGATCTGGGAAGTAGGAAAAGGTCCCAGAGATCAGACAGCTGTGTGGACACAAATGCTGGGAGCTCCTCAGGATCCTTGGCTGGTGGTGCGCAAGACAGGTACCTGCAAGCAGCATCACGGCACATATGGGTACAAATCTATGCCCAACTTCCCTGGGTAAGTATCTACCTTGCAAGTGGAGACTGGAGATGTAGGGAAAATGGTGTGGCGGGGGAGCCCGAGTGCAGTATAAGTGAATCTTCCAGGTTTGCAAATAACCCCACTATCCAAGCCCACTATGGGTTTATTTCACCTCACCTGTGACATTACTGAGTATTATTCAGTTTTTAATCAGATTTGGGAATTATTCAAATTAGTCTTACTAAAAGGTCGTGTTTGCCTTATTATAACTTGAATCTGACTTTGTCTTTGACTTGTTCTCTTTAAAGGTTTAGTGTGTTAGTAATGCTTAATTTTAAAGCTACACCGTACTTACAGGATTTAATAATTGCCTTAGTGACATGAATAAAAAAGTGTATATTTTCCAGTTGTGATAACAGAATCCTTTAATATCTACTTATTTATAATCATATGATCACACACGATTGAGGTTTTCATACATTTCAGTAACTCTTCTTGTATTCTAGATTGTGCTCATCCAGATATTATATCCTATCCAGTCTATATTTACATCTTACATATATTTATACTTTTATTTTTATATTTCTATATATGGGTTAATTTATATCTTCTTAAACTCAGAAAGAAAAGGTCAGTACTGTCCAAAATTTAATTTTTTTTTTTTTTTTTTGGTAGAAAATCCTTGTTTCAGAGTCAAGAGGACAAGACATAAAATTGGATCTGAAATACCCTGTTGCACTCATGTTTCTTGTCTTCCTTTCCCTGGAAAGGATTAAGGTCTGTATATAGATACCTGAATAGGAAACGACCTCATTATTTTTTCATATTTTGTCTCGTATAATTATGTCCTTCTTCTGACACACTTTTGATCTATGTTACCATGCATAAATCATATCTGAGTTCACAGAGCAATCTGACCTTGGGAAAATTGGGCTCTTTCAGGTACAAACTCTATTTCAGAAAGTCTATACAGGTTTGCAGAGATCTAGTTGCAGAAAAATGTTGGAAATAGGCAGACATTGTTTCTTTTGCAAAGTTTCATATTGAATTAATTTTTGCAGTCTAAGCATACCTAATTTTGTGCAGGTACAATGAGCTACTAGCAAAACCTTTCAACAGATACACAAACCTGGTAATAAAACCTACTCACCTCTGAGTCTCAGAAAATCAGAGGTAAATTCCTGATCTACTTGAAGGTAATGAGGAATTTTACCATTGAATGCAGGGGAGTCAGTTCCACCCAATGTCGGGGAGTCAGATTTCCAAAGCAAATAAAATTAGTCACATGGTACTGTACTTTTCCACTCAGTTGACTTCCTTTTAAAATTTCAGCTGTTTTTGAGGTCTTCTTATTCCCTCTCGGTCCTAAAAGTAATGCACAAGACAGGGAGCAGGGAAGCAAAAATGGCTTCCTGTAAAACCTCTTGAGCCGTTATTGCAGAAACCTTAAGATTAGCAAAGCTGTAAGGAAAAAGCTAAATCAGAAGCATGTGATGGTGGTTCAATGATCTCAGTATACCCATAACTGATATTTCATCATGTGCTAGACTAGTCCAGATACTGAGCAATGCAAAAGTTGGCTAAGAGAAAAAATAATCTTATTTCCTGTTTTTTACTTGCTGCTCTGTCATTTCTTCGGGTGTTTCTTCATTTTGATTTTTTTTCAGGTTTAGTTTTTTTTTTTTACTTTCATGATTTTATAGATTTCTATCATAGTACGATCTTGGGTCACCCTTCCAATCACTCCTTGTATTGGGCCTATGGTACGTCTTTCATCATCCATGTTACAATTCTCATGCTTTTTCTACATTTAGTAAATCCCTTCTGAAAGGAGGAGGAGATGAGAGGAAGTTGTAGTACAGTATTTGAGATGTGCATCTCCTGTGAATCTACCAGCACAAAGATAGTTTTGAGTCCTTTCCTCAGCAAAGAGGAGTTGGGGCTAGCAATAGTAATCTACCTACTTACATCAGATACCTTATAATAATTAGCATTGGTTTTCTTCAGATACATTTTGCCACAAAAATTTAGTTTCACATTAAATTAAATCTGTCCCATTTAGACCGCTTCTCACTTGCAAAAATATTCAGTAGCAAATGTTTCAGTCATCTGAAGAAGCTTTTTAATGTGGATTTCATATGTTGTCTTCTGATGATACATACTTGTCAGGGAAATTCTTTCTTAATTGTAGGTTTATGTCCTTCAATTAAAGAAGCTAGACTAGTGGTTGAGATTTTATCCAGGTAGATTATGTGTTCAGAAGCTATAAATCTACCTGGATTCATAACTGATACTTAGTTTTAATCCCTTAAATGTTAATTGTTACTCCTGTAGTCCTTCTATAGTTGCATTACACAAGAGTTCTTGCAATAAGAATAGATAGTTTCAGGTTTTTTATTATTTATTCTCTTCATATATTGCCATGCCGACACCATGTCTTAAAATCTGTGTAGGACCAGTGAGGTTTGGAGGTCACTATCTCCAGAACACTGCAACAGTTTTCCACAACAGGCTCTCCCTGTGAAGTGAACTCATCAAAGACTCATTACAAATACTGGATCTTTGCTTTTTATTCAAAGATCAAGATATATCAGCTGACTGCAGAACGATGCAGTAAGATTTTTCTTGTTTCAGCTGTAGAAAATTCAATCCTATCATGTGTCTGTATGAAGGTTTCCTGTAAATGTAAGAACTAAAACCATGTGCCAGATATTAGTGAATCCTCATTTAATGCTGTGCAAAGTTCTGGCCATCCTTATTCAGTAAAGGTTAACTCAAAAGGTCTTAAAAAAAATAAAATCTGTAACGATCAAGAGGAGGAAAGCTCTACTGTGTGTAAAGGGAAGAAAAAAGGATGCAGCTAAGTACTACCTCAGAGGTGGGGGCTGTGGGATTCTGTAGTTCTGCCAGTATGAGTGTGGGGAACGAGCCTTGGAACAGCTTCAAGTCACAAGGGTTAAAAAATAACAAAGATGTAAGTGGGCACTAACAAGAAAAGTTAATTCTGTATGACTTAGGTCTGCAGCTTGGACCCTCTGAATCATCACTTACTATATACTTACCCTTGGCTACAAAAGAAATCAGACTCCCAGTGGAATCCCATCTACTTAGAATCCCATCTGAACTGGGCAGCTTACACAGTGAGAATATTTCTGTTCTACTGAGCAAAATTCACAAGGGTATTTGTGCACCTGACTCTAATTCAGGGGTCTGTATTCCCATTTTTTTTCACTGGCAAATTAGGCCTAAACAGGAGTTAGGCAACTAATTACCTTCATGGTTCTGGGACTGCATAAGAAGGTAATGAGTAGAAAATGTTAATGTAAGATACTAACTGAAAGTACTGGTCACTTCAGATATATGCACAGCAATATGATTGACAATTAGAAGACAATAAAGACTAACACTGAAGAGAAAGAAGCATTTACTTGTAACTATGGTTGAAAAAAGGAAAATTTTAATAGAATTATCTTTCTTAAGGTCACAGGTACAGAACTGATACAGAACGAAGAGTGGTAAAAAAGGAATGAATTTATTGACTGTGTGGGAAAGCCTGGGATACCTGGATACTCGAGAGATGCAAAATATGTGGAAATAAAAGATTAGAAGTATACCAATACATTGAGATCAAATTTTGAACACAAGAAAAATGAAAGCACAATAATAATACATCAAACTCTGAAAGAGTTAAAGCGATAACAGCCTTATAAAAATGATGAAAAGGTATTTTAGAAATTTAGGATTTTGTGTTAGATATGAGCACAAAGCTATTTGTTGGCATGATTGCCATGCCAGGGTAACTTTGTCTCTGCCAAAACACAGGGTTTTCATTTTCTTCACTCTGTGACCTTTTAAAATTGGAGGAGTTCAATGGCAACAAATTTGGAACATCCATCATTCTCATCACAGCTGCTCCAACGTCCCTGAGTACATGGGTGCTGAAATGGGAAAGAAATTAACAGTTCATTTGTGAAAAGTGTACTTTCTTTCCCAAGTGCCTGATGAGACCTCCCCCTCTGTGTGTCTGTTGCAGATAAATCAGCCTTCATACTTCACTACACAAAACAGCATACAAAAAAGCATACGCTGAAATATCTGGAAACAATCAAGAGAAATACAGAAAATATTAGATCTTTATTTTGAGTTCCTGGAACAAAGGAAAAGTGAACAATCACCATTATATAAACAATATAAAAATTTCAATGAACAGACAGGTCAATAAATAACGTATAGGGGAAAAGATTTTTTCTTTATATATAGTATCGAATTCAGAATCTATGTTTGAACCATTATCATTCAAAAATAGTAACCACAGAATACTTGCCACAGTTCATTCATTCCAATTTAACTTATGCAATATTAAAAAAATAAATGGTATCCAGCTCAAAATACTGGTCACCTGCTGCTGTTTAAAGACACATACTGTACATGGAGCATTCAGTTTAGACGCAAATCCCATTCCATCAGTTCAATCTGTCTGGGTTTTTACCTGTCCCAAAAGACTCTTAGAAGAAATAAGTGCAGAAAAATGCCTGTAAGTGCAGCAGACACAAATTATTCAGAACAACATTGCTAAATTATACTTTCATAAGTAATTCGTGGTTACTCACATGCTGTGTATTGTGTCTGCAGCTGTCTAGTCCATGCAGTTTTTCCAAGGGGGACACAAAAGCTGCACAGGCTTGTTCACTTCTAGAGGTTACTCTAGTGAAGTCTTCTGAAGGTAACATTCATCTGTAGTAAGATGAAGTGTCACTTAGAGAGCTGAATATGTGGAAATGTTAGGCTGCAAATAACAGAAAACGTCATGATTCCATTGAAGATTTAGATGTTTCACTTTTCCTTACAGTGTATTCCAGCCTCAGCAAATCTTTCATTTAATTACTTCCTATTTAATAATTAATGTTTCAGCTGTAGGTCTTTCATATTCATAGCGTACAAAATTATTTATATAAGAATTTTTATACATGATGATCCTAATTGAGTCATTCTTTTAGTAAAATTCCTTGTTAAACCACTGGTTTACTATAAAACTAAGGGTAGGGTGGGGAGGAGAAAATTTGCCCAAACTATCTCCATAAGGACTGACTGAGACCCAAAATAGCTTGAGGCTATTAATATTGCAAATCTTTGTACTAGAGATTTCAAAGTGAATGTACTTTAGCATCAAACAAGCAATTAAAAAAGAATCAGAAATTAAATCTTATAAGCCTCTCTTTTTTTTTGAAATTCCCTTTTTGAAATTGCCATTTTAAAAAAAGTTTTCCACGTTCCTGGAAATTTCTGAACAGCAACAATTGTAAATAAGAACAAGATAGTAATAAACTGATTGTATTTTGCTTATCGATGTCAATCAAAAATAATAAACATGTCAATTCTTACCAAAGATCCCAGCAAAACACACTTCTGATTATCACTATTCACACTAAAAGTGCAGTTATTAGCAACTTTCATGGTCTTCCATTGTGCAACATACTGATTACTCTTGGTATCATCAAGTAGTAGAAGTGGTTTTATATTCATAGAATAGGATGCTATAATGAGTTTCTTTGTGCTTTGGGTTTTTGTTTTGGGATTTTTTTTCCATTTTCCTAAAGCCTAAAGGGAGCAAATGAGAAATATTTTTGCCACAGCCAACAAACTCAGGATTTAGGAGCAAGCACTGTGGCTCTTGAAGGCACATTTAAAACTCTCTTAGTCCAGTGCTTTCTGAGTTTACTTGAATATTCAACCCCAGCACCTCAGGGAACTTCATAAATTGAACAGTGTTTTATTTTCTATTTTACAAGACAGTAGATGCTTCATTTATTCCCAAGATCATGTTACAAACTGACAGATACCCTCTGGCTAGTATGAAAACTAACCAATATTTATTATGCAAAAAAATAAATAAATTACTTGTCATTGTACCAAGTGTCTGAAGAGGAAAATGATTGTGATGTTTAAAAAGGTACTAACCTCTTTGCTCACTCCTACCTGAGCTCGAACATCCTTTGCAGAGTTGGGAAGTAGCCACATGCTGGAATTAGAGGACAGAAAGCTTTGGATGTGCTTTGGGCTGGGCTTTTTTCTGTGTACACAGCAAACCAGAATTACTTAAGAATTTCTCTCAAACTCATATTCTGCCCGGAGACATGCATCTGGAAATAGAATTTGTTTGAATGCATTTGAAAAATATGGTTGGTTTTTTTTGGTAGAGTTAGCATGGAAATTATGATGATAACAATTATTATTATTAATAATAACAATAATTTTTATTTTAAAAAAGCCCAAAGCTGGGATATCTCACTTGGAAAAACACTTTTAATAACTGTGCTTGATGATATACTCGTATCATTTTAAAAAAAGGATCATCTTCCTGTGGTACTGACATTTATAATTCTTTCATTAGTTATACAGAGAAGCTTTAGAGCAAGCACTCAGTGATGTGTTCGTTTAGTCAGGTGGTTAAGTAGATGGTTAACCATAAAGTTCAGAGCAGGATCAAAGCAAATCCTGCTGTTGGTGCTTGAAGGCATGTCTGTGTTTCTGTCAGGTGGTTTAAAACTGATGCTTCAGAGACAGAAAATGAAAGCATGGAGGGGGGGAAGGATCCATTTAATTTTCTAACAGAACATTACGAATATCATCAGCTTAATAAATAATTTATGAAGTTTTACCTTCAGTGGCTATGGATATGGTCAGAGCACTGTATAGATAATGACACTTAAGTAACCCATACGTGAGCAGTTGTATGACTTTCTTTTCTGCACCTATTGAACACTCCTTGGTTGTGTATCCTTGGTTGACAGAAATCAGTGTCTCTATATTGACTTCAGTTATTCAATGGATCATAATATAACTCTGTTTGGTCTCATTTCTTTGATTTTCCAGAATGATAAAATGCTGTTTATTTGTGGGGGTAAAAAAGGGACTCTTATTGGAACAATCTTATGGCTTCCACTCTCATTACTAATTTACTTGAACCCCAAACTTAAGCCAGACAGTGCATTTACCCAAAAGAGAGTGACTCATTGGCACTCTCTCTGACATAAATCATATAATTTAAAATTCTTGTTATCTTCTGCTCCTTCTGACTTCATACATTTGCTTATTAGAAAAGAGTAAGAAAATTGAAAAGTACCACAACATGTGTTTAAACAGCACTGCTTCTAATAATAATTACTGCTAGAAATATGTGTCTATACATCAAAGAAGCAGACTAGACATATGCAAAACAGCAAAAAGACAATCTCAACACTCTAAGTGTCATCAGATTAGCCAAGAGATACAGAGAGAACGTATAAAGAAACAAAGGGAAGCGATGACTTGGCAAAAGCAGTGCTGGCATTAGCACAGCAGTAACCTAGTTGTGGTAATATTTTTTTTGTCACATCTCTCGCAAGACATATTTGTTCAATGTTACATTAATTCTGCTATTGAGTTTCCCTTTCAAGAATGCCCTGATAGTATAAAATCCCTGCTGAAACCCAATAAATATAATATTTCTTGATGGAAAATACATATATAATCACAGTAAAATGTGATTGGTCATATTTGCATCATGCTGTTTTTCTGGAAGGGCATTTGGCCTCTTGAGGTTTGCCAGAAACCCTGAAGAAATACTGTATTAGTATCAAGATAGTTGTCAGATATCTAGTTATTTTATAATATTTAGTTCAAATGAATTTTTACTCGTGGAAATACAAATATTGCCCTGTCTTTATTACATTCTATTTTAAGGGTTTCAGAGTATTTTACTACTATGGAAATTTGCTGATTATATACTTTTACATAACCAATGCCTTATTCAGAGTGAAATTTAATTTCAACCATTATATAAAGTTAATATATAACATCATAATGATGCCTATTTCAGTGTGTTGCTATTCTTGACAAAAAAATTAGTTATTCTTCCCTTTCCCTTGGGAACTGGTATAAATCAACGTCAGAGACAAAACAAAACCCAGTTTCCTTGTCGATGAAGTTATTTTGAAAGAGGGAGACAAAATATGACAGGCAGGGTTTGTGTACCCTCTATTACTTTATGTACAACAATTTTCTAACAATGAAAGCCTAAAACATAAAGAACTGTCATTTCAATTCTCTTAGCAAAGAAAGTACTAGAAATAATATAGCATAAATTCTATTATGTTAAATATTTCACTCATTGTATGGCAATAGATTAAATGAAAACCATTTCTTTTCTGCTTGTTATTGTTGTATTTCATCTTAGTATGTCATCAGACTTATTCGAGGAATGGATACAAATAGGAAATCTCAAAAACATTGAGTTTACAGTCCACTTCACCAATGACCAGCTGCAATAGTCAAGAAAATTAAAGCACTAACACTTACCCAGCTTGCTTGCTTTCTTAGTGCACAGATATATTGATAGCTATAACAAGCAGCCAATGCATTCAAGTATCAGGAAATTTAAAGTAGAACTGGAAAACAAATGTCATTCTTCTGCTTTACATTATGTTTCAGTAACTTTGGGAATTACTCACATTGACCAAATTAAGGGCGTAGATAGTGCTTGGTTATTTAATTTCATTCGGGGACTTTAAATTTACATTTCAGAACCCCTATGAAATCAATGGATGCAACAAAATGAGAGTGCTCCTTTTTCTGAATCTCTGTGTACTATACAGAAGGAGGAGGTATTGGCACAAATTTAACATTGGGTTTCATTTGTGGCTATTGCACAGATATCAGCTGAAGAGATGAGAGAGAGAAACTGATTAAGATAGCTCACTCTGAAGGTAAAATAAATTGTTAAATTGGGGTTGGCTTCAGGCCAGGGGTGGTGACAGTGGTAAATTAAGAGAGAGAATAAGACTGCAGTTAAGGAAAATCTGGGTAATTAAAAAGGGACAGAAAGACCTTCTAGAGTGACTGATGAGCCCTTAGTGAATAAAAAAGGTCTGGTGAAATCTAGACATATAGGCCAGAAGTCACCAAATGTACCTCTTCAATAGAATGCCAGTACATTGTGATACGTGTGTGCGTGTGTGTTCAGGTTGCTTATTTCAATGAGTTTTCTAGGCTACTTTGGTTCAAATTGTAGGCAAGCAGCTAAAGTATGAAATGCTTATTTTTAGTAAACTTCCAAATTATTTCTATTGAGACTTAAATTTTCAATATAGGGAAGGAATTGTAGAAAAGAGAGAGAAGCAGAAGAAAGGTGCTGTGTTTTCAAAGGTAACATTCAGCAACATTTTTCCACTTGAAAAGGAAACTAGAACTTGGTAATCTTACAAAGAATAGTAAGGATTTAGACATAGAGAAGAACCGAGCATTTAATCTACTGAATCTTTCTGCTAAAGCAGAATTCTTCTCTTCAATCTGTGTTTGAATCTAGCTTTGAACATTTCAAAAGAACTTTAAATATTTTGTATTTCCAGTTTTTCCCACTCTTATTCCTCTGGTTTTGGGGGTGCGGGGGTGGGAGGGTGGGTGTTTCTTACCTTTTTATTTGCTTCTTTTTGATACTCCACAGTCTCTCTCTTCGTTTCACGTAACATTTGCTGTGGAGCAATATTTATATATAAAGTGTTACTTATATAAAAGTACACTGTACAGGGTATTGGCAGAGGTGTGGATTATCTGTCTGAAAGGAGAAGACTTCTGCACCTTTCTATTCACAGAGATGAGGTTTCTTTCCTTTTAGCACCTAACGATACATCCGTCTTTGTCAAAGCCTATTTACTATAAATTAGCTCAGGCATATTTCTTCAGTGATTCAAGTCCTTCTTTATTACTCCTCATTACTTGATGTTCCACCCAATTTAATCACATCTGCATACTGGGAAATTGTCCTTAGACTCATTATTCTAGTTGTTTGCATTATGATACGCTTGATAAAGCTGATTTCTTAGCTCCTTCTCTCTATTATATAAGGAAGTTTGTCACTGTATATGTAAACTGTATTCTTGATGCCAGATCTAACACCATATCTTTGACATCATTATAATTTTATTTGAAATTTATGACAGCAAGATGTTAAAAGCAGTGTATGCAGCAGAATGCTAGTAAAATTTGCCAGGAATGGGAAAGCAGTAGTTAAGTCTTGGTCTATTTTCCCAGTGATTCTTTTAGCTATTTCAAGACAGGATTTTTTGAAAATAATATTTTGTTAGTACCAATCTCCAGACATGAAATGAAAAGTCTTTTGACTAATGGGAATGTGGTCTGCTGGCTATAATTAGGGACAACAGCTAGTTTATATTCCTGACACACAGATTTTGCAGTGTGATCTGAAGTCATTATGTACATCAGTTCACTCATAGGTAAAATGTGCACAGCAGCACAATACATAGTGTATTTAGTAAAAAACCTGTACTTTCTCATGTTGAAATGCTTTTGTTTTTATAAGAGGAGCCAAAGCTTAAAGACTATACTTGATTATTTCATATTCTTCAGGAAGTTCATGTCCAAATCCAAGCTTTGTGACTGAAAACTATTACTAAAATTGGCACCCCACTCTTGTCACCAGAATAGTTGTTCTTCATTATCATGCAATAGCATGAACTTCTCATGAAGCCGTCAGAGTTGTTGTTCATTTCTTATCTGTGGAGTAATAAATCTTTGTTACCAAATTTTTTTCCTATGCAGTGTAAAAGACAAAGGCTAAACTAAAAACTAGAGCTATATAAATAGATCTCCATAATAAAAGCAAATCTAAATTGAGATTGCTGAATATTCTCTCAGTTTTTAGTGCATTGGACAAGATCTGGATATCCACTCAGGTTTACATGAAAGAATCTTAAGTTCACTCCAGTTTTCAGTGAATTCTATGTGGTTTGATATTTACAGTTTTACTTAATAGCAGCAGTAATGAAAAAAATTTCATTGCAAAGCAAAGCTATTTACTCAATACAATTTGTGGCAATATAAACAGAACCAAAGCAAGATATTTTCTGAAACTCTAGAAATCATGATAGCTTTTTTTTTTTTTCAGATTTTTTATTTTCTTTTAGTTTCTTTTTAAAATTTTAGTATTTCCCAGCTCTGGAACTAGAAATAACAAGATACTATAGATAAGGCACTTAAAGATCTTCACCATACTAGTAATAAAGGAATAACCCAGTTCTCAGATTTGTACTTCAAAAAGCTTTAGCTAATATATAAACTATTTTTTCCTGGAATGAGGAATTCTGAGGTTTTGTCATCACACTGTCATTGTTTCTTGATAGGAAACAAATTCAAGCCAGCATCTGAAAACAACTGATGGCAGATTAGGATGACCAAAATTGCTTTCTACTTTGTCCTACATTTCTGAATAATAAATAATCAATGACATTGTGATCACTGGTCAAAATAAACCAGTAGACTATAGAGGCTTCATTAAGACTTTTCTCATAAACCTTGAGTTGTGTGATAATGCAACATATATTTAGATCCTATGGTAAAGTAGCAACATAAAATCAGCGATAACCTATAAACAGAACTTGACAAAAAAAACCCCAAAACAACAACAACAAAAAACCCCAAAACCAAAACGCTCAAAAGTGAAGGCAGAAGAGAAGCCAGTACATTTTAAAGTCCATATTGTGCCTACATTCACATACCTGTGCCAGGAACACCATTGGTCTTATCCTTGTCTTTCAAATTTGACCAAATGGAAGAATACATGTTTTAAAAAATATTAAAATGAAGGATCCTCATAATAGTTTATTGGCTTTTTAAATATTTCAGCATGGTTCTGTTAAGGCTCTTACTATAATTTGTTATTAATAAAATATATTCTAATCCACAGCAATCACAGTTCAAGTTTATTTTCTATAATAATAGCTCAAAACCCCTTGCCCTGGTGTACTCATGGATTTGTGGAGGAGATGTGATACTGGACCTGATATTCCTGCTCTATCCTGTTCCAAGCATTCACTGGATATAGCTGAAATACAGGATATAGCTGATATTCATTATAATATTTATTGATTCTCTGCCCAGTAGCATATGACTCTTATTCTTTGCTTATAAAAGTATAGGAAATTAATGAAAACATCACTATCCCCTACTTATCTTTTTAAGATTTTGTTTAGTTTGTGTGGTATATTTTCATTGCTGATAATTTGGCAGCAAATCAAAAAAGTCAACTAATATTTATCTTAATATCTATGCAGCCTTTGCTCTGTATAGAAAATGGCTAATGATGTATTAAACTCATAATTTTTCAATGGATTTCTAATGACTATGCAGTACTAGAAATTAGTGGGCTGAATTCAGTGACCTTCAGTCACTATAGCATCATATTTGAGACACAGCAATTCATTTTCCTCACAAGCATGTTTATTGTGTGTCTTCCCTTTCTTATAGCTGGAATGCATGAAGGCAATATAAAGAACTAAAAGATATGTAGGCAACTCTTTAACTAATGTTATAAACACTTTAGACATGTTTTGAAAATGGTTTCTACTCAGTACAACCTTGCCTATGCTTATCTCTTTCATCAAAAATCTGAAAGAAATTGAAAGACAGGATAATTAAAGAGAAACATTCAGAGACTTGAGAGTATGGATTGAAAGACTAATTACAAGTTTTCAATACTCTTCTTTGTTTCTGTTTTCCATTTGTGCTTTTCCATCAGAAAAAAAAAAAAAGTCAATCTCTACTAGAATTAGCTAATAGTGTTCAGTTCCTCATCCTACATTTTAATTTTTGAGGTTTTTTTTTTTATTACATCTTGATGTCTTTGGGGCTTCTACATCCTGTTTTCCTTAAGCTAAATACAAAGTGAGGGAAATATGATCGTGTAAATTTGATGGAAAAGCCATGTTCCACTGCTCAGTTTTATAAATTATGCACAAATATTGACTTACGTATGCTGTAAGACCTCCTAGAATAGGGCCCCAGCATGTGCATCTGTTGAAAGAGCCTGCCAAAAAAAGTGTGTTTCAGCCTCCAACATGTAAAATATGCATATTCAATTACAAAAAATCCTGACATCATTTCAAAAAGGTTTCAGTAACTTGCTGCAATCCCCAGGAAGCAATAACTTGCGTGCCAACAACTCATGTAAGTTTTATGTATCTATTTAACTTGCTTAAACAACAACACCAAAAATAAATTAACATTACTGCATGGCATTTCTTGTAACAGACAATACACTGGAACTCCCTTTAAAGAACATTCTTACATATAACATCATATATGCAAAAATTTCTCCACGTACCATTTTGAGAGTAGGAGAGTAGGACAGTCAACCATAAGTTGACATGTTCAAAATGCTTGGTTTTGCCAGATGTTTTTCTTTTGGATCCTTTTTTGCTTCAGTGTGCTTGACAGTATTTTTCTCCAACCTGTTAAAAAAACCAAAAACTATAACCCTGAATATTTATGAAAAGAAATGCACACTTTGAAACGTCACCTTTGGCATTTTATTTCTGTGCCAAAATTTAAGTTATATTTTGGGAGCGTAGCAAATGTTTAATGTATACACATTCCTTTGAATAAGAATCTGAACTTTCCTTTTAAGGAACAAAAAAATGTCTTGTACTCACATTTGCTTTTTTTCTCAGTTCCTCTGTGCCATTCCTATGTGTGCTACAGTCTCTACCAAATGGCTAGCAATAGAATATGAACCCTACCTCCTACCTAAAATAAATATAGATAGGCTGACCTAACCACAGGCGTATTTTTAATGAACACAATTTTGAGTGTTTTATACAGTGTATATATATATACAGTGTAATATAAGATTAGGAACATATGGTTCTGGTGGTAAATTAGCACTATGAAGATATATAGCAGTGAAAATTTCATGACATTTTCAGAACACATAAAGTACCCTGGGCTTAGATAAATTCAGACCTAACTCATTTTGAAACATGAAGGTTGTAGCCTTGTCAAAACAAGTCTGAATAATGATAATACTATAATGATTTATTGAAGTTCTTATGAGGAATAATAAGGAGAGTTTTAAATTATCATCTGTGTTAGTGTTTCATCTGCATGGGAATCATATAGAATTATGTTTGAGAATAATAAAGCCTCAACAGAAAGGCCAAATGATTACTGGGATAAAAAGACAAAATCCTGTGAAATCATTTAATTTCATTTCATTAGATTTTCCTTCCTGAGGATATTTATTAAGGGGACAAAACCCAATGGATTTGGAAGTCAGCCTTGTTTTCAGAGCTCCATCTGCACAAGAGCAGTTCTGGATTCATGGATGCCGAGCGCTGCAACAGCATAGGAAGGACTTTGCCGTGAACAGTTCCACCCTGATCAGAGTTAAAAGGTACATTCTGTGCACACTGTGCTTCTGAGAGGCTTTTCCTTTCTTTTTGATAGGAATAAAAACAAAGAAGGGGATCATACTAAAGGGAAATGGAAAGACTGATTTCATATAATCAAATGCAAAAATTTTGCCTTTTTGTTTAGCCCAGTTTAATTGAAGATTTTTAAGGCCTCAGAAATGTCTGATGGAATTTGTTTTTTGAATTTCTAATTCTCAGCCTAAAATCAGTGGGAAAAAAGGTAATATTTGGACTCCTCCCTACCTGTCAGTTGAATCAAGTTTGATGAGTAGAAAGAGCGTGGAAAAGCTAAGAGGAAAAAAAACATGTATACATGGGAAATATTTCCTCAACCAACAGATTTACTGAGGATTTTTTTAAATGAAAGCTGTGATCTAAAATAAATGGACCCAAAATAATAATGGGATATTTTACCTGTCTCGGAAGAACATTCATAGTGTAGGTTCTGTAGAAATAGACTGTAAGTCCACTTTTATCTTAAATTTTCAGAAACATAAATTTGAAAAAAAATAAATATGAGGGCAGTTACTACCAAACAGATGAGAATTTTATATAAATACTGTGGTTTTCCAAAACCACAGTAGACCAGAAGTCACATTAAAAATGATGCAATTATATAGCAATCAAATTTAGTGAGAAAATTATATGCATATATATCAATAAATCCAAGAATTTTAGTACTCTGGATATAAAGACATGAAAGATCATGCTACCACATTGATGTTTATCAGAACTTCTATACCACCATGAATGATAGTGATATCTGAGGTACAGTGTTTGAGAGATAGGGGGAAAGATAAAGAAAAGGAGAAAGTGTGAGAGGGAGAAAGTCACTCTGAATATACCAAAACAATACATGTAAAAATTACAGGATTTACTACAAATATCTTTATCCCATTATGATCAGGTCTGAAGAATATTACTAACTACATAGAAACTGAGCAGCCCATCTGGATGTAGTAGCAAAAATGGGATGCATTGTGAAAGTGTGATGCAAGCTGTAGGTACTGTAGCAATTTATTTCTTTATTTTCTGTAGGCAGATGGCAAAAACAAATTTATAGTGAAATGAGCTATAAATTCCTTTGGTACTAGGACTCCAACCAAGACATAACAAGTCTGGATTCTTAATTAGATTAACCTACAGAATCCTTGGACTAATAATTACTGATTTATCTCTGTCTCTCAAAGGCAAATAACTTCCAGGAGCTTTAAGGAGTATGATCCTATTAAGCCATGTCAGTAGATTTTTCATATTAAAGAAAATAAATTTCGGTTATTTTAATAACTAGTTAAGAACTGGAAGGAGACATAGGTAAAGAAAACAATTGATTCAAATTGAAAACATATACTGCCTTTGAGAACAAAGTATTAATAGGAAGTGTTATCACCACATAAACTTTGAAAGGCCTACATAGAAGGGATTTATTTGTAAAGTGTGGTACTTTGGGTTTCTACTGCTTGACATTACTTCGAAAATAAAAAAGCTCTGCTCTACTGACAAAGATAGCAGTCAATTTCAAAAATTTTTTACATTTTTTTAAAAAATAACTTCCATAAGCCTCATGAGAGTTAATCCAAGTTTCACTAACAAAAAAGTTAAAATCTCATAAGCATAAGTAAAATGAGTGAGCCTTTTGATTCATGGAGAAGAAAGGATGAGTGAATACCTGGGTAACACCAGTACCACTTAACCTTATGTTATCAGTCTGATTTCTTTTTCTCACTAAAAAGAAACAAAACCACAACAACTCTTAAGGTAACTCTGAAGGTTTCAAGGTTACTTGCACAGGGACACCTCTTTGGAAAAGTTGCCCCAGAGTTCCACACATTTTCATAAAAACATTCAAATTCATAAGAGGTAATATTCATACCATCTCCCTTACTCTGATTATTTTCAAGGAATTATATTCTGTTTTTGCAAGGTGTAACAAGGATGATAGCCTCTTGGAGAAGAGTATGACTCCGAGACATGAAGATCCTGGATTCATTTGTATCAGGATAATTTTAAAAGTTGACCACTGAGGAGCACCAAAGTAGGCATGAACTATGAGAAAAAGCATTGGCATCCTTCCAGAGCTTAAAAATTTTCAAAAAGTACGTGCTGCATGAGTAGGGAAGAAAGTTTTAGCATCTGTTCTGTTTTTACTCTTCTATTATTAGGGTGACTATCTATAAGGTAGTTCAGATTAAAATCATACATTAGTGCAGCCTCTGCTAAACACATCTAACTTTATAGACAGTGGAATTTAATTATCAACATCAAAACAGTAACTAAGACATTTTGATCTATGATCGCACAGGGAGACGGTGCACAGTGAAGAATAATTACAAGATTAACTGGTATATATATGCTCTGAATTCAAGAATGTTGAATCTGTTAAAACACATGCACTTTTCTCCTTTAAATGCTTATTTGTATGCAGCAAGATACACGTGACTTCTATAATGGGGATAAACAGATGCCACACGTTAGTCTTTTTAGTAATTATGACTACAGTTCAGGAGCAATAGAGTGAATTGATAAGAAATGCTCTTTGTTTTTCTTTAGGCCAGATATTTTATAGGATATTTTAAACAGTGACTTGTTTTTGTATTTAAGAACAGCTGTACATGATAGTTTAAAAATATGTTACCATGGAACCGATCTCTTTACACTCAAGAGGCTGAGCAGACATAGCAGAAAGGCATAACCCAAAGCACCTTACTATTTTGGAAACTAAACCAACCTTAAAATCTAGATTGATTCTACTGGGGTTTTTTTGAAGACCAGAACAGAAGCTGCAATTGCATCTCCATTATTTTTTTTTTTTCAATCATTAACAGAGGAAACAGTTCAGAAAGCGTACAAACTCCAGGTGAGGATCAGAACTTTTACAGGGAAGTTGGTTTTGGGTAAACTTGGAACTCATACCCTGTAAGCTGGACAAGATCTTGTTACTTTTACAATATATATATATATTTAAAATTAATTTTAAAATGTCATTTGCTAGAAAAAAACCCTCTTGAATACCAAGAATTTGTGTCTCTAACATTCAGGTGTCTTTGACACCCCAGCACTAGAACTACTCCAGTCTAAAGAAAAAATAAGCTACCAGCATGCAATTCTTTTTTATTTCTCAGGCAGTTTTACCTTGCTGTCCAAGACTCTTCCACGTTTTAAGTCACTGTGCTATGGTACATAGGCCATACTCACTTGAAAATACAGATTTTCAATTAATGGGTCAAGAATATTTCCCTTTAACCAAAGATACATGCGAAGATAATGACCTGCAAGACTAAGTGACAACCTTGCCTGTAGTTTGGAAAGAGGCATTGATAAGCGTTTCTCTAGAACCTTATAAAATGAATCTGTAATCATAAATAGAAGGAAATTGGGTATATTTGAATATATGGTACCCAGTATTTGAGTATCACTCCAATTCCCTTAGTACTCAATGGAGAAACACCACCAGATGAACGCAGAAATATATAGTGGACAATGGTGGCAAGCAAGAGTTTTCAACAGTTGTGCTTTTTAATTGAACTACGCTTTGACAGAACAATACACTGCCGCCCCACTGGGTGGCCCCTATGCTATACTTTTAATATTTTTTATGTCTTCAAATATAATTTCTTTTAAGCAATATTTTGTCTAATTTATACGATTAGCCAAACCAGAAGCTGGAAAGATAATATTTTTTAACTTCCTTTCTGATGAATAATAAATGTCACATAGGAATTAGAAAGTAGGATGTAGTCGCATGTGCCATCTGCTGCATATGGGAACAGAAGAAAGATATTAGACTTTAAATTAGGGGTTGCTTCATAGAAACTCAAAGATGAAAGGAAACCACACCAATCACTTGGAAAGTAATACCAGTCTCTATCAGTCATTAGAAATCTATCAGTGCTTAGTAAATCTCACAATATGACAAGATACTCTTGAGAGCCCTCTAAGGAATATCTACAAAGTGTATTTTAGATAGAAATTAATGTCATTAAACACATACAGTCTTCTGATTATTTACTTTATTTTCTTTTCCCTTTCTTCTAGGTGCC